AGCTTGGAAATGGGATAATTGACAGCTATGGGCTGTATGTGCAGCCTGTACATTAAATTCAAATTTCAGTTCTTCCCTTCAAGTTCTTGAACTTCAGTTCCTACACACCTCTCAACTGGATCTTGAAAAAATACATCTATGTGGGTTGTACATCTGTCTTGTTGACTGAACTGTAATGGTGAGCTTGTATTGCTTGGGAGCTTCAGAATGGACATGGACAGAAGAGATGGCTATAAAGCAAAAGTCTGCCTGGTATTTTCACTCAGTAAGAGAGCTGGGCGTATGTTTGTCAAGAAACAACTTAGAATTAGCTTCCCTCAGCCAAGAACTCTTGTCTTCTGCTGTTTTATACAGAACAAATACTGTTTTCTGTTGTGACTGTTTTATTTTGGGGACAGGGAGGTCATCGTCCCTCTCTGCTCTGCCCTCATGAGGCCCCATCTGCAGCACTGCGTCCAGGTCTGGGCACCCCAGTACAAGAAAGACAGGGAGCTGTTGGAGAGGGTGCAGAGGAGCCACAGAGATGAGCAGGGGGCTGCAGCACCTCCACTACAAAGACAGGCTGAGGGAGCTGGGCTTGTTCAGCATGGAGAAGAGAAGCTGCGGGGTGACCTCAGTGCAGCCTGCAGTACCTAAAGGGAGCCTGCAGCCAGGAGGGGAGTCAGCTCTTGGAAAGGGGAGATGGCAGCAGGACAAGGGGAAATGGTTTGGAGTTGAGGGAGGGCAGATTGAGGTTGGATGTCAGGGGAAGTTGTGTGCTGTGAGAGTGGTGAGGTGCTGGAACAGCTGCCCAGAGAGGCTGTGATGCCCCGTCCATCCCTGGAGGTGTTCAAGGCCAGGTTGGATGGGGCCCTGGGCAGCCTGGGCTGCTGTGAAATGGGGAGGTTGGTGGCCCTGCATGGCACAGGGGGGTTGGAGCTTCATGATCCTTGAGGTCCCTTCCAACCCAGGCCATTCTGTGATTATAGATAAAAGATATTAACTCACAGTTGATGTTTCTAAATCTCTATTCGTACTGACAACTATACACGTTGTTATTACTGTGCACGTGATTGCAAGATTCTCCTTATGAGAAGAGAACTTGTGGAAGCTGAAAGGGTGTATCTGGATAGGACCTCCTAATTGCTACTTGCAGTCAGCGCTCATCAGAAGCTATCTTCTCTTTGCTAGAGTTCATGATTAAAATATGGCATGTTGAAATAATCTGTGCCCTAATCTGAACATCTGAATTCGTTTTATAGAATATGGCAAACAGCTGCATTTTGGTTTGGAGCTAAAACAAATACAGTATATTGACCCACTGAAGATTACAGTAGGCTTTTCAGTTCCATGTTAGCTGTACTTATTGAAGAAAATTGATTTGAGAGTGCTTCTGCTTTTGAATTATTTTCTTTCTTTTTTTTTTTTTTTATGTCCGGAAGAAAGGAAATAGAACATACGGATGATGGGACTTTGATGTGTAAAGAAGTTAATTATCTAAACCATCAAACAAAACGTGGGCTGTGGAAGTAATTATTGTGAAGGGTCTGACAAAGCCTGACAAGCTGTTGGTTTTTTATGTCAAGAAAATGCTGTACACCTGCTTGATTTGAAAGTTAAATCATTTGGTTGCAGTGGGAAGAGCAGAGTTTTTGGTGAAGCAGTAGCTGGTAAGCTTTCAGCTCCTTAACCGATACTTGCACAGATGTACAGCCCTGAGGTTTTTGAATGAGACAGTTCTCATCCATTTGGAGGACAGGAACCTTTAATCTAAACTAGGACAATTGTAAATCACAGCTTTTCTACTGACCCAGCAATGGCAGAACTGTCCCATGATGTGGGGGAGGTAGGAATGCCTCCTAAATGACCAGACCAGACTATATATCATCCACAACCTCCTTGGGCAGCCTGTTCCAGTGCTTGCATATTGAAGGTCATTAGACTTACCTTCCCCCAACATGAGAGCTCATTGGTAAAGACCAGAATGACTAATTGCATGAGAATGATGTATATTTTTGATCTTACTGTTTGTGTAATGGGATACTGTCTGCCAAATGAACAAAACAAAACCCCCAAGAAACAATATGGCCAGCATTCTGCAGGTGTTTACAGGTCTGAAGCCTGGACATTACGTGTAGATCAGGTGTAGATCAGCCCAAGGAGGCTGTGGATGCCCCATCCCTGCAGGCATTCAAGGCCAGGCTGGATGTGGCTCTGGGCAGCCTGGGCTGCTGGTTGGCGACCTGCACACAGCAGGGGTTGGAGCTGGAGGAGCGCTGTGGGCCTTTGCAACCCAGGCCATGCTGGCATTCTATGATCCAAAGAAATTAATGGGTGCACTGGGGATTGCAGTGAATGGGAATGCAGATGAAATCCTCTGTAAAATGGCTGCTTTATGGAAGGCTGTCAGGCAGAATAGTTTTGCTGTCTAGTATTTCTGAGTGAGAGTTTCCACGGTTGTCAGTAATGCTTGAAGATAATGTGTAGCCCTATAGGATTTGGGAACTCTTGGTGGTGGGTGGCTGAACTGGATGATTTTGGAGGTCTTCTCCAAGCTTGGTGATTCTGTGATCGTCTGTATTAACTTTTACTGAGCAATGCTGATAGTGTGGTGTGGAATATAAATATATAGCTAGTAAAGTGAACGCAGTTTGTCTCAGTCAAATAACAAGATGTAAAATACAGATAAACTTATGCTTCTGCTACATGGGTATCACTGCAGCTTCTTGCTTAGTCCCTTAGGTGTGAGTATACTGCTTTCCTAGAAACCCTCTGTCGGCTTCCTTCACGTAATAGATGCACGTAAAACCTTTTACCTTTGTATGTCACTAATTTGATTGTTTAGTTTCTGTGACTCTTTGGTAACTGCTGATTATGGCTGGATCCTGCCAACACTTAAGCTTGGTGTGTAAGTTCTTTTGATTAAAATCAGGTTTCAGTGGGAGTAAACATGTGATTAAAGTTGCACATGTGCATAAGTGCTTGCAGGATGGGGACCTAAATTAGAATCTGCTTGAAGATAGAAGTCTGTTCAAATCTACTTGAAAGCAGTCATAAAGAATGTGAGCCTATCTCTAACTGCATGATGATGTCCCTCCACAAGCTATTGTGTCATTAGTGTTCCAAAATGCTAACTCTGTCATTACTTTCTGGAAGTATCTTATGCATATTCAGTGTTACATCATTCTTCACTCCAAGCCTCCGATTTGTGATGGGTTTCAGTGTTTTACAACGCAGTGGCATTTTTAATATGGTAACTTAGTTCCAGGTTATATTTTTAGAAAATAAATTTATCTTTTTACACTTTAAAGTTAAAATCTGTTGAGAAGTCTTACAGCAGAGCAAGTTAACATCTGCTTTTCATCATCAATGCTACTGCTACTACTGACAGTGCAAGGACTGAGCAGTACGAGTGAGCTGATGTTAGTGGGCAGCAGGCTGGATAGAAGAGGGAAAATGCCATGGAAATGTGCTCTGTTTATCTGAAGGCTTGCATGATGGGTGCAGTTCTGTGTTTAAAAATAATATCGAAGGGGAAAAATGAAACTCCCTATTCTATGTTTGTAGAATTTTCCATAAATAAACTTGGATTTCTTAGACTTGGAGTAATTTAAGATTTTTTTAAGAAATTAAATTACTTACAGGCATTTGACTTGCATTTTATTAAGGAGAATGTACATCTGATAGATTTGCTTTATAGAATAAGAGTAGAACTGGGTTTGATTTGGACGTTTTTTTTTAATAAGGAATTTGTATAGCAAAGCTATAAAACATTTTGTAGAAAGACGGTGCCTTCAGTCATGTAGGCTTTATCATGAGCTGCATTTCTCTTTGAAACTGGAGAAGGACTGGAAAACAGGACGGAGATGGAATGGCTGACAGAAGTGAGGTTCAGTTTGAAGGAGAGCCCACATAACTCTACAGCTCAACAGCTCCCCTCCTGCTATGCTCTTTCCTCTCATCACAAGTGATAGGGTATGAGAAAATCACAGAATCACAGAACGGCCTGGGTTGCAAAGGCCCACAACACCCATCCAGCCCCAACCCCCTGCTGTGTGCAGGTCACCAACCAGCAGCCCAGGCTGCCCAGAGCCACATCCAGCCTGGCCTTGAATGCCTGCAGGGATGGGGCATCCAAATGGCCTCCAGTTGCAGCAGGGAAGTTTAGATTGGGTATCTGATGGTGGCTAAACAGCAGAACAGGCTGCCCAGGGAGGTGGTGCATCCTCCATCCTTGGTGGTACTTAGGACATGTGGCTGGGGGGCTTAGCGATGTGCTTGGGCTCTTGAAGGTCTTCTCCAACCTAAGTGGTTTTTTGATTCTGGTATGTGTTTCAAAAAGGAATTTATGATCCCAGTGCTCATTAAGTTTTCTCTGTTGGTTTCTAATACTGTTTCGCTGTTGCGTTGGTCTCAGTGGAGGCAGGCAGGGACTGATTTATCAGTGCTTGCAATACCATGGCAATAAAAGAGCATGTGTTAAGTAGCAAGACATCAGGGTGTATGAATATAATATATTACAGAATAACAATAATTTATTGTAATGCTTTTTCTTTGGTGCTTTTAGGGCACTTCTGAATGAGTTCCTGAGAAGATGAGTTGAAAAATAGCACGTTTTCAATGCTTACAGTAATTACAGTAAATATCTCTCTCCTGTGGGCTCAGATAGGATTCTTTTTTGCATACAGAGCCTTATGCTTATGTCCATCCTGCATAGCTTTTCTTCCCTGTTGAATATCTAGTGTGCAACATACATAGCAGCCTTTAGGGTGAAATTATTTTACAGTTGCTACAAATTTCTCTCACATGTTCAATTAGTAAAATGGGCTTTTTCACTTGGCTTTCTGAATAGTTTTCTTTGAGTGTTGACTGAAAGGCGTTATGATGCTCTGTATGCAGAGTCAGGCTTGAAATTTCTACAGCATGTAGAGTTGTGTGAGGGATGCAGTTGTTACCATTCTTTAATGTGTTCTCTAAAATAAAATGTATTTGTAATTACTGCTATTTCTTTGTTCACTCAGATGAGCAGCACCGTGGCTAGCCCGATGTCAACGGCTGCTTCTTCAAGCAGTGGAAGAGGGATGGGAAAATCAACAAGCTTTACACCTGAATTGCAAAGTATGATGTAAGTAACCAGCCCACTACTGGTAATATCTGCTGCTTGGGTATTTCTTCTAGCTAGCTGCCTAGAACGTGTGTTTAAGGTGATGGGGATGAGGGGAAAGAAGAGCAAGTATTCATGCTGGACCTTGGTGATGGTTCTGGATTATTTCTGAATGGATGTTACTTTGATTTGGAGAACATTCAAAGATAAATAAAAATCCCATCTTCTGTTGAATGGAGAGAAAAATTCTGCTGACTAAATTGATGTATTATTAGTGTTACTCTAGGAAGTCATTAGAGACCTTTCTTGCTCAGACCTTCATCAAAGAAAGCTGGTTCCTATTGTCATATATGCTTATTTAAATAGATGTTTTGTATTGTTTTGTATTCAGTGCTAATACAGAAAACTAGACTGACATCAAGGTATTTTGCATGGAATTAAGACACGAAGCGATTGTAAATAACTGGGCTTTGGCTGATACAAAGTAAAGTTGTGACGAGCATCACAAACATAAGTTATTTGTTGTTGTACATTGAGTGGATTCTTGGGAACCTACATAATCAGACTTCCAAGCTGTGATATTGCATGATTTTATAGTTCACTTCTGAAACTCTGCTGGTGGATGATCTCTGGACAGGTGGGCTGTGTCTCAGAGGTACTTCCATAATCAGAAGGATTCGTGCTGTGCAAGACTTTATCCTGGCTGGTAACCTGTTATGCTGGGCTGCCTGCGAAACTTCATTTGGTGGAGAGCAACATATTTGTCAAGAATTATTTTATCCCTTTTTTTCCCCTTCTCATGTATGTCCAAGACACTGTTCTGTTGGGACGGAGGGCTTGGAAAATCAGTGAGTTTGTCCCATGTGGATTTGTATTCTTGATTTACCCAGCCACTTGAAAGAGTTATTCAGCTCAGAGCTAAAAGATACGTTAACCTCCGAGGGTGCAGGTAGAAAATGAGGCTGTGATGGCATGTGTCTAACTTGTGCATTTGTTTTTTAATATATATGATTATGAACGTTACTTATTGAGGGGGAAAGGATGCACACTTGCCAATTGCTGAGATCAGCAGCACATAAAAGGGAGTGTTGCTTTATGAAATCCTGCAAAAGTATTTTAAAATTATTTTAAATGCGCATCTATTAAGTTGAAAATGAAACGAAGAAAGCTAGTCCCAGAATACCAAAATGTAAATCCATGTTTTCAAGAGATCCTGGTGAGGTTTTAGGTCTGGAAGACTGTTCAGGATGTTGTCTAAGAGATGATGAGATAAAGTAGGAAGGACTTAAAAAAGAATTAATTTGGGGCTACTGATCTTTGCTTTGGCAAGATCATTGAAAACACTCAATATTTGGAAGCTTCCTTTTACTATGCTGCTTCATATTTTTCAATTCCTTTCAATAAGCTGTATTAAATTAAAATGGTTAAAGCATCCATTTTCTGACCTACAGATGGGTAGCTGCATTTTAAAAATAGGGAAATCTTGATTCAAACTATGGACATGCTGATGGGCTTTAGGATGCCATCCTTTTGATCTTTTTACTTCAGGTCAGTAGTAGTTGAACATACGTTCATTTGTGTGCATGTGCTCTTTAATGTCTTACAATGCACAAGTTCAAATTTTTAGATGGTTTTATCTTAAATGCCCCATTCTCATCCTTCTCCTTTCCAAGGTGTTAGAGCTGAATACCAGCCAAGGGGAATGTTAAAGCATTATTTATTGTATATAGATTTATAAACATATAGATATTCTTTTTCTGTCAGTTGTCTTCCTCGGCTCTGCAGAAGTTTAAAGTATCTCAAGACTCCATAGATTTGCCTCCATAAAATCTACATTTGTCTTTTTGTTGTAAGGGAAACTTAACATCTTAGTATTGCTGCGTCAAACTACGTGTTCTCCTTGTGTTTGCTGCTTTTGTAGTTGTGAAGGAGTTTGCTCGGGAATTAAAAGGTGTTTTGGGTCACTTCAGGCTACGTGTGGAACCTCCTTTTATGTTTGTTCTGATCACTTATGGACACGACCATGTGAGCAAAGTGGCAGATCTGCCCCAGGCCCATAGAATCATAGAATCACCAAGGTTGGAAAAGACCTAAAAGATCATCCAGTCCAACCGTTCACCTATTCCCAATAGCTCCCACTAAACCATGTCCCTCAACAGGTCCCCTTTCCATCCCTGCTCTCACACAACCTGTCCCTAGCAGTCTCCTGTAGCTCCTTGTTGCTGCTTTTAGCAGAGAGGATGTTGTGTCATATGTTGCAGAGTTACCTTCACTGTCATGTAGCATTTCCTGGTTTGAGTGGCTATATGGGCAGAGTATATGAAAGGAATTACTTGCCTCTATAGATTCTACAGAGTTCCATGCCCAAAAGCAGATTTGTTTTCAGTTAAACGTCCTTAAGAGAATGTCAGACTGCTGTAGGTGCATGGGATATATGTTCCATTGCAGTATTTCTTAGTATAAATGTAGATAACAAACAATTTCCCATGCGGTGAGTCTTGTGAAGTAGGTGAAAACTGTATTACAAACCTAGTAGCTTTCTGTCTGTCATGAGTTCCTGCTCAGATGGAAAATGTAAATTCTCTCCATTAACAGAACTCTGTTATTGTTCACATCTATAATAGTCATTTACACTAAATTTTTATTTTGTGTGTGTCTGTGTGGAGAAAACAGCTGTAACCATGTTCAAAAGCAAAAAACCAGCTATGAAGTGTGGGGCCAAAGAAGCCTGAGCATCTCTTTGGGTCAGTATCTGGTTATTTCATTGTGTGCTTCCTGATAAAGTATTTTGAAACTACCAGCTGCCCTCCTGCCAGCATACACACGATTCTGTCAGAACGCAGAAGTTATTGTTGGCCATATAAATGGAAGAAGTAGACGTTTTCCTTTTACTTCAGAGCTGGTGAAGTTATACAGTGAGAGCTATACAAACAGTCCTTCTGTGCTTTAGAGTAACAGCTTTCACAGTTTCATTAAAACAGTAGCAACTGAAGAGATTCTTCGAATGTAATGAACACATTGGAAAAATACACTCTCATTGTTTTGCTGGGGGAGGGGGGATCAAAAAGGGAATCTTGAAGTGATAAAAGTGTCAGGGATGAACCATGCGGAGGAAAAATGACATCTGTTTCTTTTGGCCTGCACCACAAAATGAAGTTACTACTCGAAAAGAACTTTCCAGGCTCTGACAGAAGCTGACATTTTTTATAAACTACATAATTTAGGAAGTTACAGATTGTCCCATGTAGGCAATTTATAACTGATCCATGCTGACATCCTAAGATCCTGGGAAATAGAAAGGCCGGAGGATTACAGTGCAGAAAGGGTGACATCTTTCTTAAAGAAAAGGGGGATTGTAGCTGCACAGTTTGTCTTTGGAAGTTGAGTGAGATCTCCTAATTCAGGCAGTCTGTATGAAGTAATACAAAGAGAACCTTCAACTTGCCCTGTCTTTCGCAACTAAAAGTGTATGTGCTGAGAAGATGAATTTCTTACTGCAAAGTAAAGTGTTAATAGGGCTCTAAGCATAGAGTCACAGGAGGGTTCAGGTTGGAAGGGACCTTTAAGATCATCCAGTTCTAATTATGAATGGTGTTTGGCAGTTGGAACGTTGGTACCCCAGAATTTTTATGTGATACAGAAGTTTGTGAGTAATTCCATTGAAGGTGGGGGGGTTATTCGTATGCAGTGTATGTCACAAATGCTGCACCTGTTTCTTGAACCAAAACATTACGGAATTAAATGAATCTTTTGGAGTAATTATTTTTTTATGATAAGCTCATAAAGGAGGAAATGTGCAGGAGCCTTGAAATGTAATTGTAAAATACTGACAGAAGTTGTCTTAGGATGCATAAAGCAGTTTTTCATCATAAGCATACATACATGTATATGTATCTACACTAATAAAACAATTCTGGTTTTCCATTAAGAGTATTTTAAATATTTATTCATATATGAGACGGGATTGAGAGGGCAGGATTAGGTTGGATATGAGGAGGAGGTTTTTCCCCCAGAGGGTGGTGAGGCACTGGCACAGGTTGCCCAAGGAGGCTGTGGATGCCCCATCCCTGCAGGCATTCAAGGCCAGGCTGGATGTGGCTCTGGGCAGCCTGGGCTGCTGGTTGGCGACCTGCACACAGCAGGGGTTGGAGCTGGAGGAGCGCTGTGGGCCTTTGCAACCCAGGCCATGCTGGGATTCTGTGATTCTATGGTATGAAGAAATGTTTGTGATAGTCAAGAAAAAAAATCTGTTCTCTGTAATATCTCGTGTGAAGTACAGCTGGGGACAGCATGCAGATGCTGACTGCTTCTCGTGTTGGTGTCAGACTGTCACAGGCTGCACAAATCACGTCCGTTTACAAAGTCTTACCCATTCACATGAACATATCTGGCTTTTTATCGTTAAGGCCTTGCAGTTACATGCTATTTGATCTAATAATGATTTCAAAGTATGTAATGCTGTCTAGAGTTCTGCCTTATGCTTTGTTTGTGTTTACGTACATTACTGTGCTGCCACAGAACTTATAGCAGAAGGTGTTAATAATTTTTAAAAGAAGTTTCCAGCATGTCTAGTACGCTAATTATTGTGAAATTATTATTTTCCAAAGTTGTTTTTCTTGATTCGGTCTGTTTATTTATCTTGAAATCTCTTACACAAAGGAAGTATCACAAGAATCACACAAGAATCACAAGGTTGGAAACGACCTATAAGATCATCCAGTCCAACCGTCTCCTCGTCACCATTGCCACCACCAGCACTAAACCATATCACAATATAATAGTTTTAGGAATTGTGAGAGTAAAAATTGTAGTTTGGTAAAAACATATTTAAAACTACCCTTTTATAGTGGAAATACTAAGTTACAGCTTGCATCAGTGATTGAGCACCTGGTGGGAAGGCAGGGCCAACTCAGGGGAGCACAGGTGTGTGCAATGCAATGCACTGAATGACCAGAAGGGCTGGAGCCAGGATCCACCCCTTCCCAGACCTCATTTAAGGGTTGGCAGTGGAAGCAAGGGGCTCTTTCTGGGGATCCCTGTGTACCTGAGGCCTTCTGAAGGTAAGCAGCTTTTTTCCTTTATTTCTGTGTCCATGGCTGTTGCATTTGAGCAAATCCTCCCTTGCTGCAACCTGGGACGTTGCTGCTCTGCTTTCATTGCTGTGCTTTCCATTGCGTTACCTTCAGAACACATTTCAGTTTCCTACACCTTATATCTTCATCCTGGAAGTGGATCAGTGCTTGGCTTTGCGTGAAATTTTACATCAGTTAAGCATTTGTAGATTAAGTTAAAGGTTAATCTAAATCTAATCTAAATATAAGATACTAGTTTGTCGTACTTCAGTATTAAAGAGTGTTTTTTGTCAGCTGTATTTTCTGTACCGCAGTGGGCAGTGTCATTGATGATGGTAGGCTCTATTACTCTACTTACACAAGCGGGTTGAAAAGCTGTTGTTTTTTTTTTGTGAATTCTGTTGTTTATTTGTTTTTTTCCTCAGATATTTTCTTCTTCTCTTTCCAAAGTCTATTTTGTGCGTTTATTTTTTAGATGCTTATAATGGTTTTAAGTTGAAGGAGGGCAGATGGAGGTTGGATGTCAGGGGAAGTTGTGTGCTGTGAGAGTGGTGAGGTGCTGGAACAGCTGCCCAGAGAGGCTGTGATGCCCCGTCCATCCCTGGAGGTGTTCAAGGCCAGGTTGGATGGGGCCCTGGGCAGCCTGGGCTGCTGTGAAATGGGGAGGTTGGTGGCCCTGCCTGTGACGGGGGATTTGGAGCTTCATGATCCTTGAGGTCCCTTCCAACCCAAGGTATTCTATGAACTGTCTAAAATAATTCTGGTGACAAAAGTGTAGCAGTATTTTATGCTAAAATGTAAATCTGAGGAAGATTTTATGTGTTTGTTTTAGCTCTGAATTATTAGAGAATGGAAGAATGCTCTTAGTTGCCTGTGTCTGTTTGTTTGTTTTTTTAATAGATGTGTGCTCCTTAGTTGAAAATGGAAAAAACCTCTTGCCTGATGTCGTAGATCTGTGAGGTGGCTGTGGAGAAGCAACTAAGAAAAACTCAAAATCCTTGTAGTGACACTGCTGTGCCATAGCATAGGCAGCAGCCAGATGCCTCACGTTGACATGGGAAGTGAAAAGCATCATCCCTGCACTGATCACTTCTTCCCCTCATGTGTTGGATGCGACCTGCTGGCGTGAGTTGGGTGAGCATTTGCTCAGTGCTGAATGCCCTGGAAAATCTCACTGATTCCAGCTAAATTAGGGTCTTACATTTTCAGTTACAAAATTGCAAGTCTTGTTATGAATAGCAGTTCATGTGTAGGCTGAAGGACTGCTTTTCTGTCAGGAAGTTCAAGGAACTTATTTCTCAGTGCTGAAGAAATGCACACCATATATAACATGAAAGAAATGTGATGCAGACGGGTGTGCTTTGCCAGCTGGGTTTGTGTGTTTGCCCAGCTTTAAAAATCAGAATAATTACAGTCTAAAAACTGAAATTACTTGTTAATTAAAAAAATAAAAAAAATAAAAAAAACCTTCAACATGCATTTTTTGCTATTTGTAAGACATTTTCCTTTTGAATATTCTGTTTTTACATAAATTAATTAGCAAACTTTAAAAATACTTTCTCTGCTTTCTAGCTTTTGTCTGAAATCCATTGTCATTCTTTCCAGCTGCTTGGCTTTCATTAAATTTCTAGTGCCTTGCTAGATGGTTAATCTACAAAGCACAAATGGGTTTTTGCAGGTCTCTTTGAGATAATGGACTTTGCTACTGACAAGTCTAGTTTGCAGTTGATAAACGTTGGCCTTGATTACTTTGTGGTATGATGTCGAAGCTGACTGACCTCAGTGAGCCAGGTATAAAGGTAAGTAGCAGAGCTACTGTTCCCTCATGCCAGGTTCCTCAGGAGGTTCCCTTATGCTGGGCTCAGTTCTCCTCAGGAAAAAGATTTCAGAGTGTTGGCTTTCATATGCATTAGGTGCCTTGGAGTGCAGAGCACATGCAGCCCCTGATTCTACCTGAAACAGGTAAATGATCATAGCAGCTAAGAAGTTAGCTGAGTAGATGATATAGATGACTGGTTTTAATAAAACAGTCTGGAATTTATATAGCATGCAACGCCCAATGAGCATGTGCTTGGGTTGAGTACTAACAATCCATTTCATCTTACTGTAATGAGCTATGATAGTACTTGCACAACCCTGTTATGACCATGAACTACAAACAGGAGGGGAATCAACTCTTTGAAAGGGTGAATAACAGCAGGACAAGGGGAAATGGTTCTTAGTTGAAATAGGGAAGATTTAGGTTGGATGTCAGGGGAAGTTGTGTGCTGTGAGAGTGGTGAGGTGCTGGAACAGCTGCCCAGAGAGGCTGTGATGCCCCGTCCATCCCTGGAGGTGTTCAAGGCCAGGTTGGATGGGGCCCTGGGCAGCCTGGGCTGCTGTGAAATGGGGAGGTTGGTGGCCCTGCAAGCAGTGGGGGGTTGGAGCTTCGTGATCCTTGAGGTCCCTTCCAACCCTGGTCGTTCTTTGATAAACTTAGGACTTTAGTCATGTCCCTCTTTGCTTTGAAGCTGATCAGTGCAATCATCTGACTTTGGGTGGTTCATTTGGAATGGTGGTGGAAGAAAGCAGCAATGACCTGGCTTAGGGAGCATTCTGGTTAACCAAACTATAATTTGGGATTGTAAAGAATTTCTCTATTCTGTCCCATACTTGTTTACCATATTTGAACTCTGAATTTTGCTGAGATTGCATTGTTCAAAAATAACCAGTTTAGCCTGCTGAGCTGAAACGCTTTTCTGCAAACATGAGCAGTAGGCTCTTTGACCCTTCACTAAATAAGCAGTGGCAACAGATGTGATCGGAACTTGTTTATCCAATAGTGTTCTTCTGATTCCATCTGCCTCATCAGATACATCAATCAAGTGTGGCATGAGATAGAAAACTAGAGCAGAGTTAGGTTTTCCTTTCATTGGTAGGACTGTGGAGAAAGGACACTGCTTAGAGTGAAGCTACTGCAGATCTTTCTGCTGCTGAGGTGATGGGATATTTTAAAGCTTTTAAGTCACAGTCTCTTGTATGCAGTGCTTAGTTGAAACTGGGTTGTGCTGAGAGGCCTGGCAGTTTGAACAACTGGTACTAAGATGTGAGAGCTGAAAATGGAGCAAATGTTAGAGAAGGTATTTGAAAATTCATTCTTATAGGCTTATGAGCTGCATTTCTGTAGCTCGTTTTTAAGTGTAGTTATTCTAGATCTCCCTTTGGTAGTACTAGAGCTTCATTTCATCATTGACTACTAGAATTCACCTGAAAGATAAGTCTCAGACATCATGTCTGAAATGCACTCACTTCCTCTCTTACTTTTCTTAAGTAGGATCTCTTACTTGATAATCAGAGGACTGGAGCAGCTCTGCTATGAGGAAAGGCTGAGGGAACTGGGCTTGTTTAGCTTGGAGAAGAGAAGGCTGTGGGGTGACCTCA